TCTTTCCCTTGTAGTGTAGTTTTTCATGGGTTTCAGTTTTATGAGTGTGTCTTAATTCCAATTCCTAGGTTTGGAAGGTCTACAGAAGGCTCACATACTGTTCTCATGTGGGTATTATAACCTAGGGTACCTAAGTACCAAGGTTACTAGAACCAACCCCCACCCCATCCTAGGCAGCTTCAGCATCTGCTCATAAGCTTATTACTTGGATTTTCAACTCCTTTTTTACTTCTGGTACTTGGGTATTTTTCAGTCTTTCTTGAAAATATATAATTAAATGCTTTTTATATTTTATTCAAAATTTCTAAGTCTTTGTGGTTGGAAGGATTCCAGTTATCTCAATCTGCTGTATTGCTGAGACTTAAAGTTCCTCATGGAAATCTTAATTAAATAAATTGTTAACAGGAAAAGTTCAGTCATTTTTTATTGTTATTCTTCAACTCAACGTTTTTACAAATAGAAAACTTAAGGACCAGAAAGATAACACAGCAAGCTAATGGCAGATGGGGGATAGGAATGGACTTAACTGTTCAGGCGGCAGAGTTGCAGTATCTCTAGGTTCTGCCCTATTTTTCTGCCTGCTGGAAATTATACCTGAATTAGAAAGAGGCCTTCCAAATCTGTGACTTTATAATCCCCTGCTGTCTCCAACATCAACTTGCAGGAAATTCCACCTGCAGTTCTGGTATTCTAGGTAACTGTAAGCTATTAGGAGACGGGAGCTATGTCTAGTGCGTGTTGCCATATTCCCCCCATTCAGACATTTAATATAGGACAGATCCACTGAGCTCTCATAACGTTCCAATGTCTACCTTCATTAAGATGTCTAATGCATTATGTCACAATTATTGGTTTACTTATGTGCCCCTTGATTGACTGTAAGCTCTTTAAAGGCAGGGACCACCAGGTACATTGTAAATACTCAGTAAATATTGAATAAATAAATGATTGCTTTTAATCCATTCCTCACATTGTTACCAACAGCATCTTCCTGAAAACATGACAGTCACACTCTAATTAGCTTAGCCCCTATTGCCTTTTTTTTTTGCTGTACGTGGGCCTCACACTGTTGTGGCCTCTCCCATTGTGGAGCACAGGCTCCGGACGCGCAGTCTCAGCGGCCATGGCTCACAGGCCCAGCCGCTCCGTGGCACGTGGGATCTTCCCGGACCGGGGCACGAACCCGTGTCCCCTGCATCGGCAGGCGGACTGTCAACTGCTGCGCCACCAGGGAAGCCCCCCTATTGCCTTTTTATGTTTATTTCCTGCTTCTCTTCGCCTTAGACTATAGCCACAATATACTGCTTGAACACATTCTTGCTTTTGGCTTCTGTTTCTACCATTCCCTCACCATAAAATGACCTTCATTCCAATCTCTGCTCATGGAAATTCTTTTCCTTCTTCAACGAAGGCTCATCTCAGATGGCACTTCTTCCGTGAAGCTTTCTGAGATTCTCAAGCATTCATGCCATTCTGCCCAGTGTTATAATTACTTGAGTTCATATCTCACATCTTCCCAGATTATAAATTCTTTAAATGCAAGAACACTTTATATTCTCCATGCCTAGTACATTGTCTTGTATATAATAGATGCTTAATATATTTAATTTAAATGAATTAGAGAGAAAACTTGCCTTCTTGGGTTCCAAAGGCCCTCCACTCTTTGCAGTATCATTTCCTTTCTCTACCCGTGGACTAAGGCTTTAGTGACGGTACTTATGCTCCCTGCAGGTGGCCTATGACATGGGAGATTACTACCATGCCATTCCATGGCTGGAGGAGGCTGTCAGTCTCTTCCGAGGCTCTTACGGAGAATGGAAGACAGAGGATGAGGCAAGTCTAGAGGATGCCTTGGATCACTTGGCCTTTGCGTATTTCCAGGTAGGGGAGTTAGCAGGAGGCTCACTGCTTTCATCACAGTAAGCGTAATGCTTTATATCTGCTTTACAATTTTCTAAGCATTTTCATGTCTCTTAATTTATTTCGTCTTCCCAACAGGACCAAATGTGAGTCAAGCAGGGCAGTTGTTTTGTTATTTCCCTATTTCTCATGTGAGTAAACTGAATCTCCAAAGAATTCCTAGCTTGTCACAGAGTTCACAGAGCTGGAATTAGAGCCCGAGTCTGTCTGATTCTTCATTAGTACTCTTTCCAATGTACTGACTACTTTAAAGTCATCGTCTTCCATGTAGGAGGCAGTCTCTTCCCTGTAGCAGCAGCAGCTGCATCCACAAATGTTTAATAGCTTCATAGTCAATGCAGATCGCTCTTTTGCCCCCTCAACATTTCATAACTCGTCCCAGATATTATGCCATGATACTGCCAATGTCAAGGAAGAAGTTTGATTGTTAGCCTCTCCCGTCTGCAGTCAAGTCCAGCTGTGACGTGAATAGTGTCTGGATACACAGCTGGTGCCATTGGTCCAGAGCATCAGCTCAGTACCTCCTCCAGCTGTTGGTTTTCTTTGGCACTGTTGATCTATAACCTGTTGTGCCCCTCGTGAAAGCTCGCCTACATGTGGGAGCTGCCATCCTTTGTGTAGCTAATCCCATTTCCCACCAGAGTTGTACAGTCTTCAAGAATAGGCTGGAGGGCTTCCCTGGTGGTGCAGTGGTTGAGAGTCCGCCTGCCGATGCAGGGGACACAGGTTCGTGCCCCGGTCTGGGAGGATCCCATATGCCGCTGAGCGGCTGGGCCCATGAGCCATGGCCGCTGAGCCTGCGCGTCTGGAGCCTGTGTTCTGCAACGGGAGAGGCCACAGCAGTGAGAGGCCCGCGTACCGCAAAAAAAAAAGAAAAAAAAGAATAGGCTGGAAAAATCACTACAGAGCCAATTCCCTAGAGTTTCCAAAACTAATAAACCATTTCTGCTCCATACATTCCTTTTCCTTTATCCCTTTTCCTGAGAAAAGGGAGGAGGATGTGCGTGGTCCAAACCCATGTGTTGCTGCCAAAACAGCAGTGCAGCAAATAGACCTGTTCCTCTCATGCAAATTCCTGGTAAGTGGCTCTTTGTTGTAAAACTTTCCAAGGTGCTCTTCCTAACTCTGCTGCTTAATTGCTACATACTAAAGCTGAAACAGAATCCCTGTGATGCAACAAATGGCGAGAAGTTATTGAATTTTAATAGAAGAAGAAAATGGAGAATTGATGTGGAGACTCAGAGAAGATAAACTAAAGCAGCTCACCCTGAAAGACAGAATTTTAAATACAGTGTCTGACTAATTGTTTTGGTATTTTTCCCCTATGATGACTTAGATTTCTCCTCTTCTCACTTGTAGACTCTCCCTTTCCACAATCATGCTTTGGTACATTTTATTCATCTTACTAGGTGTAGCTCAAATGTCACCTATTTCGTGAAGTCTTCCTTAATTCTCCTCAGACTCTCCTTCTTTGTGCTCTCATAGTACATTTTTTTTTATCCCACAGTAATAGAACACATTGGCATCATCTTATGGACAATTTCTGGTCCCCTTTTTACCCTTAGTAAATTAGGGATAAATGTCCCTCCATGGGCCTTACATTATCATATAAAATTATATATCTATATATACCATGAAAAGTATAATATATATAATATTATATATAGTACTATTATTATTTAATTCTTTTTCATGATAAATTTTAGTGAAAAATCATTTCAGTAACTACTAATAATGAGAGACAGTAGAGTGTAGTAATTAAACCATAGGCTCTGAAGTCAGGCAGACCTGTGTTCAAATTCTGTGAAAACTTGCGCAACTTACTTAACCTCCCTGGACCTTAATTTTCTTATCTTTAAAGGGAGATAATAATGATGCTGTAAGAGTGTGGAAATAATTTTCTGAATAACCTTCTGAGTTTTTGTCTGAGACCTGTAATGTAAGACAGATTAACAAAAGGAACAATAAACATAAGTTAACTAACAGGAGACACCCTCACAAATGGAGATTTCCTTTATAAATGTAAATTTGCCTTACAAAAGGGCAACTTCTACTCTGGTTTGAAAAACTTCTCCCTTATCTGTTGTTTCTCAAAATAATTAGCTCAAAATAATCTTTATGCCAAAGAGGCATATTTTAGGGTGGCATATTCTGCTACCCTTCAATGCTTACCTCAGAGGGTTGTCATGAGGATTAAATGAGCTAATACATGTAAAGCCCTTAACACAATTTATGACACATGCACTCAATAAATGTAATCTATTTTTATATTATACACAGTATATATTCTCTTTTTTCATTTAACATTAGTGTACACATTTCCAAAGGAATTTAACTGGGACATCAAAAGTAACTCTTTGTTCTTGATAAAATATTTTACCTTGTGATAAAGCCCTTGAGTTTTAAAAATATGTAAAATTGTATTTTAGTTCTCTTCATCTCATAAGGGCTTGAAAATCTATAACCCTGAATTAATATCTGACATTATAAGATATTAGATTACTTAACTATCCCTGTGTTAAGTACATAACAGAATAATTCATGATATTAAATAATTAGAAACAATCTATATGCCCAAACAATAGCAGAATGGTTAGATTGTTTGTGATGGAGCTTCTAAATGGAATAAGATGCAGCCATTGAAAATGCTGTCTTGGGGCTTCCCTGGTGGCGCAGTGGTTGGGACTTGAGCTCCCAATGCAGGGGGCCTGGGTTCGATCCCTGGTCAGAGAACTGGATCCCACATGCATGCTGCAACTGAGAGATCGCATGCCACAACTAAGGAGGCTGCGTGCTGCAACTAAGGAGCCCACCTGCCAAGGCTAAGACCCGGTGCAACCAAATAAATAATTTAAAAAATGGGGCTTCCCTGGTGGCGCAGTGGTTGAGAGTCTGCCTGCCGATGCAGGGGACACGGGTTCGTGCCCCAGTCCGGGAAGATCCCACATGCCGCGGAGTGGCTGGGCCCGTGAGCCATGGCCGCTGAGCCTGCGCGTCCAGAGCGATGGTAAATTAAAAAAAAAAAAGTGTCTCTCTTGTACACCCATGTTCATAGCAGCACTGTTCACAACAGCCAATAGGTAGGAAGCTATCCAAGTATCCATTAACGGATGAACGGATAAGCAAAATGTAGTGTATACATACAATGGAATAATACTGAGTCTTTAAAAAGAAGGAAATTCTAACACATGCTACAACATAGATGAACCTTGAGGACATTATGCTAAGTGAAATAAGCCAGTCACAAAAAGACAAATACTGTTTGATTCCATTTATATGAGGTATCTAGAATAGTCAAATTTACGGAGACAGAAAGTAGAATGATGGTTACCAGGGGCTGAGAGGAGGGGAGAATTGGCAGTTGTTTTTTAATGATTAGAGTTTCAATTTTGCAAGATGAAAAGACTCTGGAGATTGGTTGCACAACAATGTGAATATATTTATTATTGATACTACTGAAACTATATACTTAGAAATGGTTAAGATGGTAAATTTATGTTTGTGTTTTTTACCACAATGAAAAATAATAATTAAAAAATGCTGTCTCTGAAGATTATGTAAAGATATAAAAAGTACTCCTGATTACACTGTAGAGGAAAACAATCAGGATATGAAAATGTATAAGAAATATGATTGTAACTATGTAAACACTATATATTACCCAAAGTGCTTGAAATGCCTGGGTTTCAGTGTAACATTTTCCCCCTATTTCTCATATGTTTTATAGTGTTCTTATTGTTACTTTTATCATTAAAAATGAATTTTTTCACATGCAAAAATAAAATGATCAGAGGGAAATACAGTTCTAGCAGCTCATCATCATTCCATGGCACTCAGAGCAGGATCACAGCCCACCCTGCCTAGGTTCTGTTCCCCAGGTTTGTCTGGAAATCCCCTGTTTACTTTTGACCACGTGTAGCCCAAGGTTGAATGGCTGCAGGGAGAGTCATTACTATGCAGTGGGAACGGTTCAGGTTTAGTTCTTCCTTTGCCTTCCTCTAACTCTGTGGACTCTCAGAAGTACTGAGCCTGGAGAGCAAATTATATTTTTAGCAGGGTTTTTATAGTTCTATATTAATTTTAATAATAAAATATACCAAAATAACAACACCCTACAATTACATGGTTTTGCATGCTTTGAAAGACTTGAGGGCATTTTAAGACAGTTTATTTTCATTTATTTTTCTCCATTCCCTGGTAAGGGTGTTAATAAGTCATTTGTAAATGAGGAAACTGAGGAGACCTGATTTGGATCAGGGCTCAAATCCTGAATTAGGACAGAGAACCTCTACATTTTAGTCTGCAGCTCATTTTAATGAGTCTTACTAGCTACTCTTGGTAAGAATATTTTATAGTTTTTTTAAAACTCCATGTAATGGTTCATCAGAGGAGATATCCTTAGTGCGGTTAACTCTTTCTTTTCCTTTTCTTTCTTTTTTATAGGTGGGAAATATTTCCTGTGCCCTCAGCCTCTCCCGAGAGTTTCTTCTGTACAGTACGTAACGATAAAAGATAACTACAGGTCTGACTTACTGGGAACTCCCTCCTGCTCTTGGCCTTTAGTCCTTGCAAATGAAACACAGCTGTCCATTTTTATTTTTCTAATTTCATAATCCAAGGCACATTTCTAATTTTTGATTAAATCTTACATATTGATTAAGAGTTTTTAAGTTAGTTAGAAAGCTAAGAAGAAGATATCAACCTGTCCCCTTCCTCCACCACCCCCATCCAGTCATATATATTAGTGTTGCTTCAGTGGAGAACAAGGCCGAGATTGGGAGCCAGTTTCTTTAGGGACATTTGAAGATCCAGGTGTCGGGAGCAGACCTGGGAACGAGTGCAATCAATGAGGGCTGTGTGTGCAAGAAGGAGAGCGACTCAGCAGGGATGTTCACTTTGGCTGCTCATAGAAAGATAGCAATTATTCTCTTTAAACCAGAGCTCACTTTGCTATGCAAGCATCCTGCCCAGTTGGCCACAGAGTTCAGCTTCAGCCCTCTTCAGGCAGCGCCTCACCAGAGTAAAACTGGGAGGGAGATTTACTAGCTTAGCTCTACTTGAATATTTATGCTTAAAATGTTGGTGGTAGATGGCGTCCCAGGTTTTCTTTTAATAAGATAGTTAGATACTAAAGTAAGATACATAATCACTATTATGTTTTAATATTTATGAAGTATTTCATGTAGGATTTCACTGTCACTTTCTAATGAATCCATTTAGTAATGTTATTCCTTCCTGATAATTTGGCAAACAGTAGGATAAGGAAGTAGCTGTGTGGTCTGGAAACACGTAGACAGTTAGTGGTACAAATTGATGACCCAACCTCTCTTTATTTCTTTGTGCTTTATCTATTAAAATCTCTGCCTCTCCCAGAGAGCCCAAATTGTGCACTATTATAGGTGGATAAGTAGGACACAGCAAATTGAGATTCCTGGTTCCATAAGTGGTTTTGCAATATTTTTGTTGGTATTTTGGGCTCATCATTTCCATTCCCCCAAACTTCATTTCTTCTCTGGTTAAAAAAGGATGGTAATTTCTGTCCCCTCCTTTGCCAGAATAATGGTGGTGGTGGCAGTGGTGGTTAGAAGGACATTGAGCTCCTCAGAGAAAGATGCTTTGTGAGCCTTACAACAAGTCAGCACCTCCTTCTGAGATGCACTGAGAATCATGCACAGAGGCTAGCAGGCCACGGGTAGCTCCAATCCATGGGGGATCTGCAGCCAAAGCGGGCACAAACAAGACACAAGACCCCTGTAGGAACCTAGGCTAGAACCAACGTCTAGAACCCCTTTGTCCCATACTGCTCTGCTATGTCTAGGCCAGTTAGGGATTTTTTGAAGGATCTGGTAGAGCTGGGAATAAATTAGCTTCCAGTTCTCTAGGGAATAGATCGGGTCTCTCTGCTATAGGCTTTGGCTCTTTGAACTTCTGTTTCATAGCACTTCCTTGTTCTGTTGTGTTGTAAGTAGTTAATGTGTCTTTTCTCCATTAGACTCTCAACTCTGGGAGGTTAGCCTCTAGCACAGTGTCTGGTACATAGTAGATGTTCACTGGAGAGTTGGTGAATGAATAAGATATTGAAGCTTCTTCCCTCTACACAGAACTGACCATCACACCATCCTACAGCCACATCCTCATGATTCCTTGGTCTAAGAGTGTTCCTTCAGATCTACCAGGCCCTACTCAGTCTTTTTTTTACTGCCAGGTACTCTCCTGGGAGTGAGGGCCTTACATCCTCCTGTGCATGGACACAGAGAGTTATTTAGGTGTCCAGTTGCTGGTCACGTGTGACAGTGAAGCTATAGGAAACCTTGGCGGCACTCTTTGGGACCACTGTTTGTTAACCTGTGTTATTCCCTGATCCGATTTCTTCCAGGCCCAGATAATAAGAGGATGGCCAGGAATGTCTTGAAATACGAAAAGCTCTTGGCAGAGAGCCCTAACCAGGCCGTAGCTGAGGCTGTCATCCAGAGGCCCAACGTACCCCACCTGCAGACCAGGGACACCTATGAGGAGTTATGTCAGACCCTGGGTTCCCAGGTAGGATTTCTCAGGGAATGAAAAATGGAACAGGCTCGGATAGAGGGAGAAAAGGTAGAATTGGGACGATGTGAGGGGAAAGGCTGGTGCACTAAAAAAAATAAATAAAGCTCACTTGGACAGCATCAGTGACTGAATTCTGAATCTCCTGCATTCCAGGCTTTTTATGCTGTAGTTCCCCTAAATCGGTTTCCGCTCCTAGACCCTTCTTCTCTTACGCTGATTCTAGTCTTTCCTTTCAGCCTACTCACTACCAGATCCCCAGTCTCTACTGCTCCTATGAGACCAGTTCCAGTCCCTACCTGCTGCTCCAGCCTGTCCGGAAAGAGGTCATCCACCTGGAACCCTATGTTGTTCTCTACCATGACTTTGTCAGTGACACTGAGGCTCAGAAAATTAGAGGCCTTGCAGAACCATGGGTGAGTGTCCCCAAGGCCTGCCAAGAACTTCCCTTTGTTTCTTTATATGACTGGTGTACCAAAGTGTGAGAATAGGCAGCCTGAACAACTAGATACTTCACCTGTTCAGGAGTTCAAAATACCAGCCATTCCATAAAACTAATAAATGGTGAAAAAAATCACAGTAGTGGTTGCCTCTGGAGGGTGAGGACTGGCTGAGAAAGGATACAAGGGGATTTTCTGGGGTATTGAAAATGTGCTGTCAATGTCTTGTTAGGGATGTGGAGTGCATGGCTGGATGCCTTTGTCAAAACTCAGCAAATGGTACTCCTGAGATCTGTGCATATTATCGTATATAAATTTAACCTAAAAAAATTAATGGAACCCCCCTCCCCCAATATCAGTCATTCCATATACGTGGAAGAGGTCTACAACAGCAGTAGAGGTCGGCTTCATCCTCCCATTGCCTGTCTTGCGCTGGCTGCAGCTCCGCCCCGTGCTGTCTTCCTCTGGGACCCAGCCTAACAGAGCAGCCTCTTTTTGGAACACTGCCGTCTCATGCGAGAGGGAAAAGGCAGAGATGGCAAACTACTAGCTGGTTCTTAAAGCTTCTGCTTGGGGCTTCCCTGGTGGTGCAGTGGTTGAGAGTCTGCCTGATGATGCGGGGGACACGGGTTCGTGCCCCGGTCCGGGAGGATCCCACATGCCGCGGAGCGGCTGGGCCTGTGCGTCCGGAGCCTGTGCTCCACAATGGGAGAGGCCACAACAGTGAGAGGCCCGCGTACCGGAAAAAAAAAACAAAAAAACAAACTTCTGCTTGGAAGCACCAGGCATTACTTCCATCCACGTTTCCCTGGCTAAGGCACAGCGTACAGCTCACACTGCAGTCAGCAGGGAGAGTATATCTTATTCTCCCATGGAGAAGGCTCTGCACCAAGCTTGATGTTGATGCAGAGGGGAGTTTAGTCCGTCAGGAAGTGTGGCAAATATTTAGAAAAATCATGCAGTCAACCTCACCACTATAAGCATGTTACCTCTTTACAAAGGGTACATTAAGATGGTCTCAGAACTACTGTGTCAAAGCAGACATTGTGGCCTTCACGGTGTGCCATTCACCCTGGCAGCCAGGCTGTCACTCACCTGCTGTGTACCAGACGCTGTACCGGGTGCTTGGGCTGTTACGAGGAGGTTAAATATTGCTCGCTCCCATTTAGGAGCTTCCTGCAGAATGGGGAAAACACATTTACAGTGCACTGTGATACGTGCTGTAATAGAGGTGTGTGAGGGAGTTGTGCTACGGCAGCCTAAAAAGGTGAACCGTCCTCTGAGGGAAAGGCAGGGAAAGGCAGTCGGGTGAAGAGCAATTGGGGGAAGGGGGAGAGTTAGAAACAGAGAGGGCTTCTCTGTGGACCTGAGATTCATCAGAGTGAAAGGTGGCAAAGGGTATTCCAGGGAGACAGACAATCTGTGCACGGGCCTGCTGTGTGGTGTGTCCAGAGTACGGGGAAGCTCGGGGGCTGAAGTGTGCAAGGGAGGGGGTGCAAGGTGATGGGAGAAAAGGCTGCAACGTGAGACACAATTAGAAGCGCTGGAAGTACCAAGCTGGGGAGTTTGGATTTTATCTCGAAGGCAGGCGGGGAGCTGTGGGACAGTGTGAAACAGGAGAGTGCCCTGATCAGGTCTGCAGATTTTGAGGAAGTCTCTGACAGCAGACATGGATTGGAGGGAGAAAAACAGCAATAATAATTTTATCTAAAAGCCCTTCAGAGAAATCTGGAATCTTTGTACAGAAGGTTTCTGAAGCGATTAAGCTCCCCTCCCTGGTGAATTGGAACGATGTATTTTCAATAGCTTTGGCTTCTCAGTGAGCCAGCGGGAGCGTTTGGCCGCAGCTCCTTTTTCCTCAGGGCAACACTGTTGCTGTGGTAACAGGACAGGCGGCCCACTCGGAGATGTTCATTTAATCCCTTGTAGCCAGGTCATCTGTTTGGCACGCACAGATCTTGCCACTCTCCCTTCCTCCAGAAGCGTCTCGCTGGGGTTGCTGATCCCTGTCTGGTCTTTGGCTCACCCAGGAATAAACCCGGGGTGTGTGTGGTACTGGCTGCCCCGTGGGATGCAGCCACCTCAGTGGCTTGTGTTGAATTTCTCTGCTCCTCTTCACTGTGTGTTTCTCAAAGAAGCATTTCTCTGCTCTCTCATCACTCCTCCCCCATCTGCATCCTGCGCATCCTTGAAGACTCAGCTGAAACCCTATGCCTCTCTTGGCCCCTATCCCTGACCACTTTGGCCCACTTTCATAGATTCTTTCAGGAGGAACATTTTTTCAGAGCACTTTTTGGGGCAACATTCAGTAACCTCCCTCCTCTGAACTCAGTTTTTGTCTCCACCTGTTTGGTAATTTCATTTATTCTGCCATTTACGTGTTGTCTGGAATCATGATCAGTTTCATGGGTTAGCATCCTGTCCCCCCGGCTAGACTGTAAACTAGCAGGGATCATATGTTGTCCTTGAAATGCCTGGCTCCATATTAGACTCGTTGTAGCCAGAGCAATTTGCAAAGGGTCACATCTGACTGAGTCAAACCCTCACTTAAACTCTTTAATGGGTCACTTTTTTTTTTTGCGGTATGCGGGCCTCTCACTGTTGTGGCCTCTCCCGTTGCGGAGCACGGGCTCCGGACACGCAGGCCCAGCGGCCATGGCTCACAGGCCCAGCAGCTCTGTGGCATGTGGGATCTTCCCGGACTGGGGCATGAACCCGCGTCCCCTGCATCGGCAGGCGGACTCTCAACCACTGCGCCACCAGGGAAGCCCTAATGGGTCACTTTTGCTTTCAAATGATTACAGAGCTCCTTGGCCTGGCTGCTGCCACTCCCTCTGCAGCATGTTCCCATTATACTGACACCCTAGCCACCCTGAACAACTTGCATCTCCATGAACAGGCAGTGCTCTCGCTGGCTCCTCACACACTCTTCTCTCTGCCTGAACCACTCTTCCCTTGGGTTCTTTTCACCTGTGTGATTCCAGTTGTCTTTTGGACATCCTGGGAAGCCTTCCTGTCCTTCATAAGAATGCGCTAGATGCCCCTTCTCTGTATTTCCATAGCAACCTGTACTTGTCCATTAGGGCCCCATTGGATGCCTTATGTCTGGTTTCCTATGTTGTATTTACAATGCATAGCACAGTGCTTAGCACAGAGAACGACCAGTAAGTATCTTCCCCCCAAATGAATGACTTGTAGGTGCACAGTAAATAATTCTTAAAGGAATTAAATGCAGTGTGGCTCTTTAACGGAGGGGGCGGGCAGGGTGGAGTGCAGATTCCCTAGGATTTGTTTTTAAACCATTGATGTTGTCCAAAAAGAACAGAAGGGACTATCTCTCTATGAATCTCTCCTTACTCCTCTATGAATGGCTCAGGAGAGGATGCTGGCTAGAGGACTAGAAAGAGACAATATCAGTCACATACAGATTCCCTGCATCCTAGTATTGTAGAGGGAGAGGCTGAGAAGGACTACAAGAATGTATTGTTCCCATGCTGCATTTTATAGCTGGGGAAATGGGTCCAAGCAAGGCAAGAGCCTTTTCCAAGGTTGTCTACCTGGGAACAGTTTAGTGTTAGCATACATGTTAAGGTAC